AAAGGGCCTGTATCCTGCATCTTTCTTATATTTTATATTTCCACATAACTATGTTTCATCCTTTCTTTATCGTTTAGAATGAAACAGTCTGTTTTGATTACTGTCCCCATAAGACTGATATATGAAAATGACCTCAATTCTCATTGGTCGGCCTTTATTGTGCCTCATTCCAAAATGCAGTCCAGGATGAAACACTCCTTACAACTTCTGTGTGAATGGGCAGAGCTAAACTGCTGAAGGCTGAATAGGTGGATGTATGTATGTGTTGGTGTTTGTGACATCACAGAAACAATAAATTCAAAACTGTTTTTGCAGCTTAGCCTCCGTATATGGACTGTATAAAGAGTGAATGATGTTTTGAAACTTTAACAGTGTTACATACTTCATCAGACTCTTCACCAAAGCGAGGAAAACTTTCTTTTCCATGATCTGGGCCCTTTAAGAGGCATTGAAAGGTTTCTTGGATAACTAAAAGTGGCATTGTTCCAAGGAACACTTTCTGACACCTTTATTTTCTTAAGAGTGTATGTGTAAGTCTTTGTCTCCCTTGTCTTTCTTCCCTTCTTAGATGAAAATGATTTTGGTTTGACATTTTGTTACATTGTGTTTGATGATGCAATATAGATCATACCAAACTACAGAGACCTCGTCGATCAGATATTTTGAGAGTTTTGCTGATCTAGGACCAGTTCAGTCATGGCCCACTCTTATCTAAATAGTCCATGATATAAACCAAAATTCTCCTCACTTCACAAGCTCTGGTAATGGAATGGAGCAAGAGCCAATTTGTCTGCCTGCTTTTCCTTTCTCCTGAAGATGAACACTTATCAGCAGACCATGTGGCATGGCTCACATCTTTAAGCCATTTGGGGAGAGAGCAGATAAAGCTGCTCATTCTGAGCTTCCATTGGCCCAAGGGACGTGGCTGAGACCCGTCCTCAGCCACTTCAGATTCTGTTACAGAGTCTTACTGATGGGTGGACTCCTGCCATTTTATGGCAACTCAGCAGAGCGTATGTTTAGTATGATAAGCTATTTAGTATCTGCGTGTTATATTAAATGTGGAGTAACTAAAGGTAAATAAAGGTGCCAAATGGAACCCAAAAGTGTTCTTTGGAGCGATGCCATAGCAGAACCTTGTTCATTTTTTGAAAAGCCTTTTAGTGTCCAGTTCTTTAAAGAACCATGTTTTTGTTTGTTGTTGTTGAAGAATGTTTAAAAGGTTCTATACCAGTTTTTCTACAATGGTACATCTAAGCCAAGAACTAAACTCTTAAAAATAAAGGTACTAAAAAACTCTTATAGAAGCAACACAGGGATTTCAAATGTGGATAAACACATTTCACAGTTTTTTCACAGTTTTTGTACACTTCTTAATACACACTTGCACATTTGTGACGACATACCATTTAATGTCACGTGTGATTGCACATTATTCTCATGTGCTTGTAAATGTCATTCTTCACATGTGAAATATATGTGGCTTTTCTGTAAGGGAGGGTTCTTTGTGCAAATGGAGAGAACACATTTTGGTTCTTTTAAGAGCTAAGCTATGCTTGTAAAGAAGATTGTGAGCGTAAAGAACCTTTTTAAAGGTTGAAGAACCTCCACATTATGTAAAGGTTCCAGAAAGAACCCATTAAATGATAAATAATATTTTAATTATGTGAAGGTTCTTTAACCCTTTTAAAGGTTCTTCACTCTGATTTTTAAGCATGGTTCTTTAGGGAACCAAACTTGGTTCTCCTGTGACTTCACTCAAAGAATTCTTTGTGGCATTTTTTTAATGAACATATTTAGGTAATTGTCATGTCTAAAAAAAATAATAAAGAAATCTAAAATTGTAACATTATAGAAGTAGACAAAAATGTTCTTAATGTTTAATATATGTTAATATAAAGATATTTAATTCAAAGTGATTTTGGGGCAATTCTATCCAAATCATGAAATTTGTACATAATGTAAAGGACAGCTGTCATATTCAAATGGTATCAAAAAATAAAAACAATTTTTTTTATTTTTAATTTTTTAAGTATTTATTTATTTATTTTTGAGTGTGATTGTGTACTAGTGGCATTAAAATCTTACATGACAAACATTTCCTTAACCTTCACATTGTGATTTATGAACAGCTTATGAAACATCCCTTCTTTGAGGACGATTTGTTTTGTAAAGAAAGAAATGTATATGTATATTCATGAGCAGTGGTGAGTATTGCAGTAAGTGTTCTCTCTCATTACTCCTCAGTGTTATGGGGTGGGCCGTGCTGTCTGATGGCCAGTGGTTACACAATTGCATCCAGCTGTTGCAGACTGCATGTGACGTGTGGTGCCAGTATTATGGAGCAGTTAACTTAACCCAGCAGGCGCACTGACACGCACACAGCGCACGCTAGCATCATGCAGACATGGAAAACATCAGAAACCCTAGTCAAGTTAACATGTGCTCTGGTCAGGGCTGATCGCAAGCACATCATGTCACCACCTTTCATTTAAAGCCATGATTACATCGCCTAACTAACAGGCTTTACAGCCTTAAAACTCCAGGGGGTAGACACAATAACAGAAACACCTAGCAATACATTATTGAGTAACTAATAAGGAGTAGGACCACCTCTTTGGCTTCAGAACAGCTTTAGCTTTACGTGTAAAGTGGGATATCAGACATTTTTCAAGAAAAAAGCCTCCAGATTCCTTGCAAAACGAAACTGTACTCTAAAATTTCCCATAAAGGTTCCGTTGATGATTAGTTGTGGTGATTGAGGAGGATATGAAAGACAAGTGACTTCATCCTCATGTTCTACTCTTGAATTTGTTTAGCAGTATATATGAAGGCATCATCGTCTTAGAACATGCAAACACCACGAAGGAAGTTTTTGCACCTTGACCATTATATAACCGCACAAAGCAGTCCTCAGTCCTAATGACTCTCTTGAGGTGGCCACCCATACCACTATGGATTGACCACTGTATTTAACAGTTGGTAAAAGACATTGTGGATTGAAGGCATCCTTTGGATTTCTCTAAATGTAAACAAATCCAGATGTAGAAATAAGAGTGAAAGATGACTCATCAAACCATTTTTTTTTCCATTGCTCAGTGGTCCAGGTTTTGTGCCCCTTAGCAAAGAGTATGGGCATGGCCAGATCTACCATATGAGTGACCTGGGTCACTGCCCAGGGGTTGCCAAAAGGTTGCTCAAAAATGTGCACACTTTTTGAAATATTCAGTTTATGCATAATCTATTCACACAACACAACAGTCAGCCTGATGATCTAGACAGAAATATCCAAAAGTATGATCGTTGTGTATATTAGGTGGTCTGTTGCATCTGTATGGGTAAAACATATAGACAGGATCATTTTGGCAGTGATTTTCTCACCCTCTTATTGGCATACCTGGCATGCTTGACAAGGACTAAAACCTCTGGTTCAGTTTTAGACATTTTGTGAAGAATCGATAGAACAAGTTTTCAGCAAAACAAAAAAACCAGACCTTTTTTTAACATGGTTCTTATCAGTGGGTTCGAGAGGATAGACCTCTGATGTCCATGGGCACCACAGTATCTTAATCTGGCCCTGAGCATGCGTCTTGGTGTATTGGCAACACTGCCATAAATTCCTGCTTTTGTAGAGTTTGTTGTGACTGGCTCACAGAGGAGCTGATTCAGTTCTGTGGTCATTTTCCTAATCTGTAAACTGAATCTGTAAACTAAAGATGGGCTTCAACTTGTGATAACTCTTATTTGCCAAGCCAGGTGTGGTTTAGGCTGTACTCAAAGTTTTGATGAACTTATACCTTCTAATAAGTGGAGCCCTGCTTTATCCTGGATCATTCCATGCCAACTCACCTAGGCTGTGTTCGGTCACGTCATGGATTTCCATGAAAAACATTTGAGCAAAAACTTTAATTTAGTTCAATCACCCAATCAAAATTTCAAAGCTGTGCTCAATTAATGATTTAACTATCACTTTTTAAAGTTTTCCCTTTTAGAGTTTAAATAGAACAACAGCTAGCTTTGTATTTTGGTGTGGTTTTCTGAATAAAATGTTAAAGTTTTACTTAAACTTTTCATGGAAATGCATGGTGGGATATGACCACACAGTGCCTAGGTGAGTTGGCATTAATTGACCCAACTGTTTTGATGGTAACTCATTAAAACACTGCTGGATTTATGTAAACTAAGTATGTTTAGTATGCCAAAATTAGTTGAGAATTGAACAAAAGCAATTTACTATATTTGAATTATACTGAATGTAAACTTATTGAACCAAAAAGAGTTGTTTGGGCCGATGCCACAGAAGAACCACTTTTGGTTCTGTGCTTATTTTTGAAAAAAATTGTTTTGTTTTGTTTGGCAACCAATTGGAAATTGTCCATCACTTCCAAACAGAAATAATATTTTTACTTATGGTTAACTTTGTAAAGAATATATTTTTGTTAACTTTGTATTTTAGGCATTAAAGGGGTATTACACTTACACAAAAAACTGCATAATTACATGGTTAAGTACTAAAGTCATTCAGAGCTGCATGGTGTGAAATGTTCCATTTTAGAGAAACTCCCTGAGTCAGAATGGTCAACAAAGCTGGTGATAGGAACCACATGTCTAAAGTGTTTAACGCCTTCATTGTAGACCGAAAGGATCAAAAAGAGAAGAACAGAGCCTAACAAGCTTCATTTACTACACTTTTATACTTTGTTTTTGGAGTTACTCTTACTTTTGATTCTCATTATTTCACTGAAGTGAATATTCCTATTGGATTTTTACTGAAGCTGCCACATGCAGATTTGACAAATCACATATTGGAGTGTGTCACACCACTTTTGTTACTGACACACAGTGAGAACTAGAATTCAAACAAACACTTTATCTGTGTTGCTGTCTTTGTAATTCATTATTTCAATGTTAATGTTGGGGTTTATGTTATTTTGTCCAGCTCCTGTAAATTATGTTTCTATATGTATTCACTTCGCTGTGTCATGAAATGAAGAATGAAGTAGAGACATGAAGTAGAGCATTTATTTGTTTATGTACTAAAATATACAAAACACTCACACCTGCCAATCCAGCGGCAACATAAAGTAACTGTTATAAGGATACGGAGGCGCAAACATGCCCTCCTCTCCCAGATTACAAGAACAAAAAGTGACAGAAAAGCTTCCATCTCATGCAAACTTTAAAACAGGCAAACGAGCCTGTTCAAAATGGCTCCTTATTCTGTGCTATGGTAAACCTTCATAAGAGAGTGAGTACTGATTTGCTGACTGTATTGGATAAAGAGAGAGCTCATAAATAGGCAAATCTCAGCTGTCTGCCTCACTGCATGCATTCCGTCTCACAGTGCACAACAAACGATGATGAGTCTGTCCATTATACTGCCATATCTTATTGTGATACCTATTTCTTGTTGAATGAAAACAAGCTTCTATCAAAGTTAGTTCAGTATTTGTAACTGAAGTCCTCTCTCTGGTTCTCTTCTTTAAAATTCCAGTTCTGGAATGGATTTTAAAATCTGCCACTGTGTTACATTCAGCATACAGCCCACATGAAGAAGAAAGGATAGTAGCATAATACTGTTAAACCAGGTTTTATAGCAGTTATTAGCAAATATTTTGATGTGTTTAAATGGGATTTTATGGGACGATCTTGAAATTGTGTTAACAGACTGTAGTGCTTTTCAAAGGACCGTCCATAGCATAACCAACACAGATTATCTGTAGTGCACAACAGATATCCTCCCTACAGACAGAGAAAAAGAGATGGCTTGGTAGCATTCAACAACCACGACATGTATTGAAATGACCAAATTACGTTATAACTGAAAAGGGACGTAAATGACAGGTGTGTGGTTTTGATTTGTGTCTCATATTTGCAGTTCATTTTGGTCATTTTTGAAGACTGGTGTTGTATAAACTGCATTATGTTCAGTGCCTTGCGAAATTATTCAGCCCTCTTGGAATGTATCAACAGTTTTTTTGTCTTGCAAATGATACAATTTTATTTTATATTTTTATTGTGATCAGGTGTTTCTGTCCATCCTTCCACTGTGAGAAGAAAACTCAACAATATGAGCCTGAAAGGATGTATAATTGCCAAGAAGCTGTTATTGAGAAAGAAAAATAAATATTAAATAAAAAATAGCCCAAACTGCAACATTATTGAATGTGTTTGGGATTATTTGGATGAGGAGAAGCAGAAATGCAACCAACTTCTAAAACTGAACTGTGGAGGGCTGGAAAATATCCCTGCACACTTCTGTATGGAACGCTAACTGTAATTAAGGCAAAGGATGGACACACTAAATGTACTTAATGTACACTAAATTTGTACTTATATGTCCGTTTTCACAGGAAATTAAATGAAAACGTGGTCTCTGACTTTTGCACAGTACTGTATGCTCTGAAAAAAAGAATTTTTCGGAATACTTCTGCAACGTATGTTTTACTAAACTTGATATTTAGCGTAGTTATGACAGTATGGCTTTGAAGCATGCACCCACATACTTTATACCTCTTTATACCCCTCTAGCCGACACCTGGACATGGTGACCTAAGACTCATGTGGCTCAATCTCATCTCATTCTCTTAGCAGAGTTTTTCTATGGAGATTATACAAGCTGTATGTGCACAATTAAATGTCTATGTTGGCAGTGGGTGCACCTAATAGTAGCTGAATTCACAAATTAGAACGTGAGTCCAGATACTTGAGTGGACATACAGTGTATCCCACAAAATATTGATACATTTTAATAGGGCTGAACACCGTCGTAAGGCACTGCATATGAAAGGCTCTATCTACTTCTCATTTTCTGAAGTGGACTGTTATACGAGAGAACTGTAGATTTTCTTATAGTTCTTGACTGCATTAATTGTTTTTGACCAACATTTAGTTTTCTATTGTTTTTTAGTGTACAATCTTATCCTTTGCAGCCAGCTTAGAAAAATGCATCTTCCAGTTTGATTACAAAACATGAGGCTATGCGAACTTAGCCTGCAGATAAGTAAAAATTCATAAAAGACCCTTACCCTTCTCTCCCACATCTGTAACATCCCCTACTGTTTTTTTTTTTTTCAAATTAAGAGCATTATTATAAAATTGAAGAGAGAACACTTGATCTGTAAATAAGACAAACAGACCTGCACCTTTAGATGTAGGGTAGTCAGTGCTGGAGAGCAGAATGCAGACCCATGAAATACTGCTGTTTAGGGTTTCTATGCCAAATAGGATTGACCTAAAAAAACAAAAACCCTTCATCATCATAAACGGCCTTGACTGCATCCAAGACCCAGAATAACAGGGCTTTAACACTGCTGCCACTACTGCTGCTGCTCCTGATATGTTGCAGGTGCATAATCCTGCTTGGTTTTGTAACACTTGCCCCATTGACTGACCCCAGAGTGCTGTGTTCTGACCTCTTTAGCTACAGTTCTTTAAGGGGCTAGCGCCTCCTACTGAGAGTTTGACACTGTCCTTCAGTACGTGATAAGGTCCATAAGGTGACTAGGGGTCTTCATCCATGTCGTCTAAGTTTGGAGCCATGATGAAGTGTTTCGGGTAGATGAGACTGTGCTCGTCAGCGTATTCCTCCCAGCGCGCATCATCGCTCTCGTGGGTGATGTAGCGCTCCCCTCGCCGCGTCTCAAACTCACGAAGGTCCAGCCACGTCTGGTAGTCCTGCGCACATGTAAAACGCATAGATGCATTGGTCCAAAGTGGTGATGAGCATTTTAGTCCAACTCATATTAGAATTTATTTAAATAACTCCTACATTCTCATCTTGTCTGTAGTAGCTTAACCAGCTGCAGTAATCTGTCTATGCTTCCTTCCTTGGAGTACACTGTTAAGAATCTCTAACTAAAACATTATTTGCAGGCTCTTTCTTGCCCTCTGGTGGAGTTTAGACACCTCATGTATCAGTATGACTTTAAAGAGTAGCTCATTTGCATATCAAAAATCCTTCATTACTATTTGATTTTTTAAAACTTTTATATGAATGTATATTGAATATTCGCACCTTCTGTCTCATCCCTAAACCGAAGGTGGTGATTGAAGCTGCAGTGTATTATAATAATATTGAATGAAATATGCACTTACATTTTGTTCAAAATAGAATTCTTGGGCTGTTTTCAAACATAAATCTCCCCAAAAAACATATAAGTTAGAGATACAATGATGCCTCTTCATGAAGGTGACGATTCCTCACTGATTTGGAATATTTTGATGAATTTTAAAAATATTCAATGATGCATGCATCCCAAAAATATGAGCCAAAATAATATTTTCAAATGTGAAAATGAAAAAAAAACAAAAAACAATGTATTGCCTTTATTGTCCAATTCACTATTTTACTACACAAATCTCCTCCAGTTAAATCCTTGCAATGATTTACTAATACTTGTTTATACCCATAATGTTTTAAAGGGAAATTTAGGCATTTCTTTTTGTTTGCAGTGATTACATGAAATACTTTTATTTGTTACCAGATGCCTAAGATATCATTTTATGATAAAGTTTTGAGATAAAGTTTTTATTTACAATGTATTTTTTACACTCCCTTTATGGCGGAGAGGTACATACAGGTTAAAAAACATATTGTTTATTTATTTGTCTGTTTGTTTTCGGGTTTACCACTATTTAATCAATGCTACATGTAAAAATTCAAAAGACACGTAGGTTCACTGATGGAATTTTTCTTTTTGGTTTTCAGTTGGAATGTACAGACACACTGTAGACACACTGTATGTTACACATTGTGTTATCTAACCTGTAGCCATGGATGACTGAGGGACTTGTCCACACTGTACCGCTTCCTCATCTTCACTTGAAGAAGATTGTTGATAAGATCTGTTGCTGTGGATTAAAAAGGGCACTTGTTGTTAGTGACCTGATAGAAAGTTGAGACCTTGAAAGTTAAGATCAAAATGACTAAATGTTGAGCCACGATTACTATGAACAGTTCTGACTCAGTGTGAAAAAGGTCAAGAAGATATCAAAATGTCACATATCAATAATGTTGAAAAGGGGTCAAATAATGACAAAAATAATCAAACTAAATTATAATTGATAGAATTTCTTAGATAATATTGAACAGCACAGATTGTAAGGTTGTTATAGAACTTGAAAAGACATTAGGACAGATAAAACGTAAAACTTGTACTTTTTTGTGGTGGGGTACTGAGGGGGTAGGCAGAGTGGTGAATTAGCAAGTGACTCATTACAGCTTAAAGGTCTGAGGCTGTGGCAGTGTAAGCAGACGCGGGGGTGGGCAGCTTAGTTCCTGTCTGACACACGTTTAGCATCTACTGTATGGCTGCTTGCTTCAAATACAGCCATGAAGCACTGCAATTATCCACTTACCTTAATATTCAAAACAGACTGTCTAGACCATTTGCAGATGATTACACTGCATGTTTAAATGTGATATGTGAATCACATTTCCAGTTTGTATAGTGGTCAAAAACCTCTATGAACTGATCTGACCATCCTCTTATCCACCTTAAGGGTCAGTGTCTAATCAAGTAACCATATTCTAACATGCACAGGGGAAAGTGGATTTTTACTCAGCAAGTAAAATTATATGGTAAGCCACATTCTGTAATATAAGAAAAGGCTAATCCCTTGTCTAGACTACAACCACTGCAATACACGTTCAAATAAAAAGGGTCACCAACTTGTAAAACAAATGGTACTTTAAAACTCGCTGCACTGCAAGAGCTTAAAATGTGCCCACAGTTCATGATATTTAAAATGTCAGCTAAATGCAAAAGCTCTCCTAAGGTCATTATCTTCATTGAACTAATTAATTGTTATTGAAAGTTCTTCATCACTTTTCATCACAACTGTGTCCATTAGAGCTAGTTCTTCAGTTTGTGCCACAAATACCAAAAATAGGTTAAAACATGGAAGAAACACTTTTTATGATAATGTTAATCTCAACTAGCACCAGTATGGGATCTAGTAACATGTTCACTAAGCTAACAGTGATTCACGTGAACATTTTCTGGCCGTTCTAGATAAAATGCAGAGATTTAAAACTTGTAAAATACATCCTGTGTTGTATCTGAAGCTTGTAACACATACATACAGGCAAATATTTTATCTTGTATGCTGCAGTTTAACAGTGATTCTTTAAACAAAGAGCCCTGATATAGAGCTAACCAATGAGAAGACGCTTCTTCACTGAATCTACCCACATGGTCCTCACTGGATCATTTTCAGTTTGCTGTTTCAAAAATTTAACTCTTTTGTTTCCAAACAAAGACTAGTACTAAAATACTTGCTGAGTTTAAATACACAAGGATTCTGATTACAAGACAATTATCTTAAATAAAAATGAACTAAAAATTGAAGACCCATATTTTTTATTTTAAAAAAGTATTTTTTATTTAAAAAAAATCAAGCCTTCTCTGAAGGCCTGGAAGGGACTGAAGGTTCCCCACTGCTTTTTACTAAACATTAGTAACAGGTAACTATGAATACACTGTCCTCTTACCTTCTGTGGATATTTCCTTCCATGGCATTGGTGGATACATGAAGGCAGCGTTCTGGATCTGGTCATTAATATCCTCGTCCTCATTAAAGGGGAAGGTGCCGCTCAGGCTAACATAGATGATGACCCCTACTGACCACATGTCCAGTGAACGGTTGTAGCCTTTACTGCGCAGGACCTCTGGGGCCAGGTACGCTGGGGTTCCCACCACAGAGCGCCGGAAGGACTTCTCGCCGATTATACGAGCAAAACCAAAGTCACACAATTTCACCTGCAATTCAATTGATTAATCATTTATTTAACTGATTGGATTGAAAAAAATAATCAGAAACCAATTAAATTTCTCTTCTCAATGAATCAGTAATAGTTGACAGTTAGCATGATGATAAAATCTCAAAGTAAGAAACACCGATTTATAAACATTTTTCTACATTCTAAATATGTAGAACCTTTGAAAGGTTGTGCATGATTTGTTATTGTTAAGTTAAATATATTTTTATTGCTTTGTCTTTTTTAATTCTGATTTCTCTATTTATCTTCTAAGTAATCTGTAGGTTATGTAATTACTAATGTAGTAATACAGTGGTCTAGTCTTTTCACAGAGTCATGAAATGGTGAGTGTTTGTGAATGACGTTGAAGACTCTTGCCTGAGGAAAGGGTTCTGCAGAGGCCAGGAGCACATTCTCTGGCTTTAGATCACAGTGAACAATATTCTTGAAATGGAGATGTCTCAAAGCCACCAGTATCTGTAAGCAAAAAAATATAATTATGTTGACTAAGTGCAACCTAAACAGATATTGAGGCAATAAGCCCTTTATAAGCTCCATGCTGTGTGATTTAAGCATTTACACATTTACAAGATATAAATCACATAATATGTAATGATACATGTTGAGAGCACATGTTGAGGAAATCAAATTCACTCAAATTCACCATTTGTTTTCATTGAAACATACACCCATCAATACAGTCAGGGGCCTCTTGGCCACATCAGAGCTGCACTGTGGCTGCTAATTGGAGGCTGCAGATCCATAGCTAATGGATGAGCTCCTGTTGCCCCAGCCCCTCAGGGACCCCTGTGCTCTAATCAGCCCACAGACTCCAGCCGTAGAGCAGAGGAGAACCTCACTTCAGCCTCTTGATGAGATCCAGACTACTCTAAACATAGCCTCATTCATAATAATCCAGGAGAATAAACCAGAGTAAAGACAAAGAGAGCTGCACTCTTAACACAGAGAAACCTAGAAGGATCCTCATGATTTAGACAAGTAACAGTTAGATGAGAAAGTTGTGAACCTGTGTGACCAGGAACTTGGTAATGCGCTCAGGGAGCCGGCTCTTCTCGCTGGACAGAATCATCTCCAGCATGTCTCCGTGGAGCTTCTCCATGACAACAAACACTCGCTCCGGGGTCTCAAACATGCACTCCAGGTTGACTATGCCAGGATGATGCAAGTTCTTCACAAAAAGAAAATAGCCTTTAGAGGGTGGGCAATATGGCAACATGTTATCTTGTTATCTGTATCATGATACAGTCACAATATCCTTTTTTTAATGGAATGGCAGTTATGATTAGGCTACATAGGATGTCCTTTACATTGTGTGAACATTTCATGATGAATAGAAACACTCTTAAATAACTTGGAATAAAATGTCTTTACATTAACCTACATTAAAAGTTAAGAGCATAAGAGCCTCATTCTCCAACCGTTCTTAAAAAGAAATTTCTTCTCAAAACCAACTTTTGCAGATTCTGACATGACCAATGTTTTCTTATTTGGGATTTGTTAGGTAAGAACAGAATCTACACACACTCAAGAGCACAAAGGTGTAAACAATTCTGCGGTTTAAGAACACGTCATGAATCTGACAAAGATGTTTTTTTAGGACCTTTATTAAGAGCAAATTTAAGAAAAAACTTAATAAAATATTGCTGAATGAGGCCCATTGTTTGTTGCCTTCTTCTGTAAATTACTATTTTGGAGATTTAAATGAGCAAAATGAAAAAGCTCAAAAAGGTCATTGCCTTCAATGAACAGATTTAATGTTTTCAGATATGATACGCTGAGGAAGTGTTTGTAGTCAACATTCATAGACCTTTAAAATCGCTTAGAAACACTATCAATAAAATTATGTAGGTTGTTGTCACAGAGGGCCATGCATTTCCCTACAATCTCAGTAAGATGTGATGATCTTACCTGTAATATAGCTACTTCATTCCTCAGCTGGCTCTCCTGTTTGGTGGGGAACCTCATTTTGTCAATCACCTTTATCGCCACATCTCTGCCCGTCTTTCTGTGCTTCCCTTTTGACAGAAATGACATTTATTTAACTGTTAAGATAAGGCAAAGAAAGAAAATCTTTGAATAATTTTTGCTCACAAACGTACCTCCATATACAATTCCAAACTGGCCCGATCCCAACACCTCATCAGCAAAGATCTGGTAAACAGAGCTGATATCCTAAAAACAGAGAAAACAGACCAATACCTTTAATAACTAACCAAATACTAGTGTCTTATTATCAGTGAGCCTGTAGTGATTGTCCTTAAGTATTGCTTGGTACTTCCTTTTTCCTGTAACAAGGTTGGTAAATGTGATGAAACTTGTTGATGTTGACTGGGGGGTCCTTTACAGAAAATGTAGAAGTGTGAGGTTGATGGTAGGGCTAATAATAACGATACACCCGCTGCGGTAAACTGCGCAATACTAACAGTAAACACACACTCACCACATTCTCCTGGATTTGACTGTTGGATACAGAAATGCTGATGGACAGTTCCTCTGCAGGGGCACACAAAAGAAAATTCAAAATTCTTTTCCAGGACATCTTACAGAATATGCAGTTAGATAAAGAAGTACAGAGAATGACATATGTCTTCTAAATCCCATATGAGATGAACCATGATGCAGTAAATAATGAGTAACATTAGTGTCTATAAAAGAAAAGAAAGAGTGCAGCACAGTATAAAACTACACAGAAGATGGGTATCAATCAGTGTATTAATTAAAACTATGTACTAACGTAAGTATTCACTGATGGGATGACTTTTTAAGCTCTTTTTTAAAGCATGCTTTGTATGCATGGAAGGGGCTGCTATGAGTTAAAATATGGTTTAACAATGGTATTTTATGGTATTTCAAGGCTTGGAATTCAGGGACTGGAGATTTGTATTAGATTTTTGCTCGAGTGGGAGCAAACATGAGAGAAGAGTGGATCAACTCAGCTGTTGCATTCTAGAAAGCGGAGGCATTTGATTGAAGATAACCGATCAACAGACACTCAACTTGAGGATCGTGGGTTGTAAAGTCAGTTTCTTTTGTTGTAGAATTTGTAGAAGAGGAACCAGTGGTAGATATTTCATGTTTTTTGCTCCAGGAAGTTTAGCTGACCATAAAACAACTTCCTGATAAAACATGGTAGATGAATAACTGAGGCCATAGAGATGGAGAAGCAAGATATTACAGAATGAAATGTGTAACACAATGTTAAATAAAGTCGCTATTCACAACTGAGATGGCAGGTATCATGCAAGGTGTTGTTGCAGTCATTTTTCATGTTAAAATAATCATTAAAAAATTCATAGGCTGCTTGTCTACATTAATGTCTACTTATGTGTTCATATGTCAACACTGATTTAAGAAGATCTTATTTTAAATGTATATAAAATGAAACGTGTACAGCATGTACTCTAATTATCTAATTATCAGGACATAGTCACTTCCATGTGGCTTTCTGTATGGAAAGTGGAGGTGCATCACAATATTAAAGACAGTCGCACATCAACCACAAATTTCATCACACAATAGAGTAATCCTGTAAATCAGGCTTGAAAAAGAGTGCTCAGGTGTAGAACCCAGTACCTTTGGTTCCAGTAAGCTGTAATGTGTTCTAAATGTTGTGCAGTTTGTCCATGGCAGTACATGGAGGTATTCAGGTTTGTATGTGCACAATGGAAATGTGGTTGACCCACATAAGAAAATGCCATCTTATCAAGATTCTTTAGAAGAAAAGCCTGATGTGCACTGCAAAAGGGCACCTTGCTTTCTTTTAGGCTACATTCAAATTACCAGGTTGAACTGGCACAAATCTGATTTTGTTGCATTAATGTGACTCTAATCTGATGTTTTCAGAACTGTGTGGACACACATATCTGATCTTTTCAAATCAAATCTGAGCCATTTTATACATGATCCTAGATATCTGACGCATGGCCATGCTGCCTTAATGAAAAGGTCAGATCAGAATTCATGTGTTTGTTTTTTTTCAGTGTGCATGCACTATCATTCAGTGTTAACGCAGCAGCTGTGTCTAAGCCAGTGCCAGTAAACACTGCATAAACAATGCATCTGACCGTTTCTCATCTTTGTCTCGCTCTAATAATGAACAGCTGAGAGCTGTTCACAGGAAATTATCATTGCGATGAAGTCTCGTTCTGCTGGTTTGTTTGTTGTTCATTATGAATGCAGTTCATTCATATGACGTTATTGATTAGGTTGTGCGCATGCGGGTCATTTCAGGACACAGACTCTTTCACATTAATGACAGACTGAAGTCACCTGTGAACCATCGAGTTAGGAAGATTAGATCTGAGCAAAAATTCGGTATTGAGCAATGAGGCTTGTAATGTGAACGTAGTCGTAAAATTGTCACAGCAATGGTTGATTTTCACAGTTAATTTTAATTTGATTAAGAAATAAACAACTACAAACAAATGTTTTGTGAACAAAGGTTAGGTTTTGTACCACAAAGTGCTTTCCTTGGTATTAAGAGCAGGTTTTACTTTAATAATGAAAACATAATTCATACTTCTTTGTCCAAACTTTTGTTAAAAGTAAATATTGAAAATTATATCCCAAAAGGTGGTTTAAACTGAAAGTTTTGGGCACTGACATCCCAAAAAGGGGATATGTGTGGTGTATGTCATTATTGCCTGTCTGATGTTCCTTCAATTTTACTGAAAAAACTCTAATCAGATTTATAATAGAAAATATTTATTACAAACAATTTGAAAAGCAAAGCAAACTTCTGACAGCACGTTCAGGTGATCAAAGATCTGAACTGGAACTGGAAATTCTGAAGCAAACCTTTCAAAATCATTCATATTTTCTCTTATGAAATGCACTTTGTCATCGATTGCATTATTCATACAGTAAGCAATAACTGCAAAAGCCCAGTTTAGCTGCTTGTTACATTTGAAACATATGGATCAATAATATTTGCTAATAAGAATATGCATAACATGAAGAATATGTTTTCCCCAACCTAATTTTACCCAGATGCAAATTCTAACCTCAATGTGAAAAAATAACACATGAGCAAGCTTTAACTGTTTAGATTATTGTACTCACTGTGGTCCTTGCCCTGACCAGCAGCAGAGCCCACACTGGGCTGAGGTGTGACTGGAACAGGCATGAGGGCTTGGCGGATGGCCTTCTCCCAGCCCTGGGCCACCTCCAGGCCCACCCCAGAGGCAGCCAGCATGGGGTTGTGAATGTGAAGGTGGGGCCCACCCATGTTCTCCCCCACATAGTAAACCATAGTTGCAGTGATGATCTCAAAGCAGTGTGGATTGCTCCCCAGCGCCAGGCTGCCAAAGTCCTGCGCTGCCTCCACCTGCAAGATCTCTGACAAAGGAATCTCCTGCAAGTGAAACAGAAAAGTCAGACTTCCAAAAAAGTAAAAGAAATTCTGTTGAAAGTGCAAATTTGAAACTTTCAGTCAATACTGCATTTGTATTTGTAAGTAGAAGAGGAGATTCTATATTATGATTTAATGTTGATTTAAAAAAATGTTGTGCAAAAGCCTTGTTTTGCAGAAAGAAACCTTCTTTTTGTCACTTTTTGACATTGAAACAAATAATAATAATATTAATAATAATAAATAAATGTTATTTATAGAGCACTTTTCATACACAAATCAGCTCAAAGTGCTTTACAATCTAACAGTGAAATTCAGTAATGTCAATCTTTTGTTTAGCAACATGACAATCCAGGCCCCTGAGGTTTAAAGTCTAATTAACACTGTGAAAGAGACTGATAATGCAAATTAAATCCAAACTACAGCCTTGCATCAAACTAAATAATACAGTAGATAATAGATAAATAATAAAAAGATAAATCAGAAAAGTACATTTTCAGGGTTAGTAATAACCAGGCAGTACATTATGTAGCATTACGTTTTACAGCGAAGTTATTTATTCAGCCACACCGCTCCTGACAAAAAGCCTAATAAAGAACTTTCTTTCATTGCGTACCTTTAAATCCTTAGAATACAGCACACTTCTGTACACCATAGAGTCCAGAGTCTTCATTCTATCTAAGCGTGTGCTTCACTAGAAGCTCATGTGCTCATATCCTTTCTGACTTTTCAAAGTCAAATGAGGCAGCCTTGCTTCTGACAGACTTTTTAAATGCCGCCCTCTTTTCAGCCCCCAGCTCAGTCTCCAGTGAAAGAGCGAAACGGTAGCTGTGACCAATAGTGGTCTTCGCTGAGCTTCAGATCAAGTGCTTGTGGTTAGAATGTGCACCACGTGACCTAGCCCACTGAAGTGCTTCATGATTACAAGGCAGCACACCAAAAGCCTCCATGACTATGTGTGTGCTTGAGTGTGCATGAGCCCAGCGGGCTGCAGCCAGCGACACACAGCTACCACTGTGCTGGGGGTGGTTACTACACACTAAATGGGAGTGGTCTGGGTGAGGAGCATTTATCTGGAGGCAAAACTGAAGCCCCCACACCCCATAAAAGAGGTTGAGAAACCAAAAATACAGGGCTTATGTCTTCAAAAGAACACAATACGACTTCCAAATGTATAAAACAGTGTATAAGGCAGCGCTTCATCTTATGACTGACACATGACCACCAGCAAGCATGGAATGAGCATAAAAAATGTTACTAAAAAAAAAAAGAGAGGACCACCAGCCTCCACTTAACTCAGTATATTAACAGCAGGCCCACACACTTCAGTTTCTCACTTGAAAATAAACCTTACATATTAGTTTTAGATATTAGAAGTTACCAAATACTTCATAGTACTTACTGGATAATAAGATTACTAACTGAAAAATAAACCTAGTGTTGACAGGGTTTAATATCGAGGGTCAAATCTCCTTGCTGACCACTCAAATGAGTAAAGACTGTACTTTGCAAAGATCAGAGGTGTAAGAAATACCCAGAACAAAGGGGCTCGGTTACCCCACGGCTGCCTCATGCACTAAAGTCATTTGCTTTTAATAAAGCTATAAGACTATAATATATTGGTCCCAATGGAATTATTATAAGTACTCTGGCACTCTACATCCACATAGATTCCTCCATGAGCAGCATGCAACCAATTGTGTACTTACATTATGTAAATTCATTAAAATGCTAAAGCGAAAATGCCAGTACGTCTAGACTTCTACATGTTAATAAAGTGGTCTGCAAATCAGCCTTACCCACTCCCCTGCACTGCCCTGTGGGCTTTCTTGAGCTTGGTTTTACTTGTGAGACACACTTGGTGTGTTAGAGAAAGGTTACAGACACTCATTGGAGTTCCCTCATAAAACACACAGCGGGGGGCTGCCCACAAGAGAGCATGTGTACTCGTCTCTGAAGGTGTGACAGTTTTAGATGTGTTTCTGTGGGTGCTTAGGTTTTTCTAACAGTCATGAGTAATTATTATATAATATGTACAGATGACCTACCACTCAGTAATTCTGACAAAACTATAAGAAAAGTGTCACATTTTCTCAACATCGTCCAGAGACTTACCACACTGTCATGCTTTTACAGTGCTTACTGTTATGAGGAACTGCCTCATACCCTACTCTGTTATTTGCTTTTAACAAGGCTCTACAGAGAGATTAAAACCTGTCTTTCAAGCATATGTTTAAATACAACAGCTTACATTTATGAGATTTAAAATGTGTAATTACATGTGTCCAGCTACATATTAAAAGGTTTAGGTCTAATTTGACACAATAGTGCCACTTGTTCATTCTTGTCTCTGTCTATGTTCACACACACAAGTGCATACAGAAAGCATTCAGAAAGGATTTTAGCTGTAGATAAAGGAATTTATTTCTAATGTGGCTCAATCATCATAAAGTAACCCTTTATTTTATGGACATTTATTATACACTTCCATAACCTGGAAATAACTCAACCCATTTGCATTGTAGTTCTTGTAGTTACTGAATAATAAAGGGCCAGACGGAATGTGCTGAAGAGACACAGATGTCTTTTGCTGCTTACAAAATTATTATTATTATATTCTGGGAAAAGTTAAAGGAGAACAGAGATTTCAGGAGCTGAAACTTTATTAGCGCTTTCGCATATAGTTCTGTAGCCCAGTGTGAGCTACTTTTGGAGATGAAGTTCCACACGTGACGAAGCAGAAGACAGACTAATCCTTGTTGATGTTTGCCAAAAAGTTCACAGCCGATCAGTTAACTTGGTTGTTGCTATCCCAACCACAATCACAGCAGTGACTGGTGAGTTCATGTTGCCAGCAAAAGTTTGCAAATATCAAACAGGGGTGAATATAAAAATGTTGCATTTTCACCTTCCGAAAAATTGTATGCAAGCTATACAAGTGTTCAGTTTCATTTACCAAAATCAGAATAAATCATGCTTGGTATGTAAAGGTCTTTAGGATGTAGTAAAGCTGGGAATGTAAGTGGTTAATTGTAACACTATTATAGTCAGTGGTTGAAAAAAAAAAAAATCAGATGGATTGGGGGGACAGTTTCAGATATGTCATCAAATATGTCATTGCTATCAGAACAAAAGCTCATATCTCCAAAACTGTTATTTCTCAGGGGAAGAAAACTTATAATGGAAGTCAATGTAAAATGATTTTTTTCTGAGTAATTTTGGACCATTTCTATTGGTTCATTCATCATGTAATTTTCACACAATGTGAAGGACAGCTGCTGTGATAAAATGATGAAGAAAAATAAAAATCTACAAAAATTATTATTATTTTTTTGGACAGCGGTGATATGCAATGCAATGCAGTGGCCAACACAATGGTTCTTTTCATTTTATTTTAAATGTCTATATTTTATAACAAAACTCTCCACTGCAATTCCCAGTGAGATAAGTTAGAATATTAGGCATGTTGACATAATTTACAGTAGTGTCAGCAACACTGCAGGCAGTGATATTGCACTAAGATGCCTAAGCAGTTCTCATTCCGGAGTCTTTTTTTTTTTTTTACTAAATGGGGCACCCCCTTGCATCCGCTCGAATTCCTCCTTAACTCGAACCCTGACAGTACATTTACTCAAATCAGGAATCGCATTTGTTACTAAGAAGTAAATCAGTTAAATGGAGAAAGTTTGTTCAGCTATCTAAATGACAACTGAAATTCAGTGGTACCAAAGGATAAAGTACGTTAGCATTTGATGCTAGAATGACCTCAGATGCACTACGAGTAACAGCAAAGTTTTTGCCTTTGTCAGTGTTGCCAGGTCTTCCACTTTGACTACAGTGAAATTTTACATCACATAAAGTGAAACCAGGGCAGCGGGGGAGGGGACATTCTGTGCCATTTACTCCACTGACCTCATCTCTAGGCAAAAAACGAGCAGAATTTTACTGACCTATGGGCCATCTGAGTAATCAATTTTTGACCTTCATATTACAAAATAATAAAATAATAAAAGTGTTGCTTACCTTGTAGAACTTAGCTCCTGAGTCATTCTGAAACAGAGTCAGGCTTTTACTGTCCAGTCTCCAGTAGTGTCTCTTTCTCTGAGGAAACCAATGCGTTTTAGAAATATTTTTAGTAATGACCATTAGTAAAAGTCTAAAAACCACAATTCCTGCATGATTTAACAAGGGTTTCAGGTTCTTCCTTAACATTTATTAAATATGTATTAAGATGGACCCGCATTTATTTTTGAAGGTGTTCTACCATCTCAGATGTTCGATTTATTTAGCTGGGAATGAAAGCAGTTGTTGGGGATCTTACCAGGTTGTCTCGACTGGTGTAGTGCACCATCCAGCCCTCTTTAACCACAGTGGAGCTTCTTCTCTTGGTATGTTTGATGGACTGGACCACACGCATCAGTGGAATATTAGTGCTAGTGGACGGACTAAAGGAAGACAAAAAATTAGAGAGGTAAATTAATGTGAACTGTTAGACATACTGTAATTTTGAAGTTGTCTAAAAGCTATTTTTTGTAAACAACAAAATATCATCATTCACACTGTCAGTCATGCATTATTACACCTAGATGAATTAGGTTGATTATAAATTAGATTATAATTCTTTGTTAAATGAGACACAATATACACAATTCACAATATGCATCATTATATTTCATTTTTCTGAGATTCAGTAAGTTGAATCTGAGGAAAAAGGAACTGTGAGTCTAATAATTTTTAATGTTTTACATACTCCACTGCACCAAATCCAAAGGAGCACTAATTACACCCTCTTTGTAATGAAACAGTTGGTCACATACTGTGATGTAATTTATCATGATAATGATGAATATCATATATTCCCCAATCCTACCCTAAATATTTTCAATTATTCAATACATGTTTGGTGTCCAAGCTGACAGTTGGCTTGGTCAGGCTTTAACATTCCGTCATGGCATGATCATTAAATTTTAACTGACAATTAATTGTCATAAAAATAATTTGTGATTAACAATTTAATTCTCTTTTGTCCATTGTATATAACTATTAAAGCACAAGCCGTGGCCAAATTGGCTGATTAGCCATCTTGATTTCTAGATGTTGATACTCTCAACTGTCCACAGACACAGCTCAAGCTCAAACCAACATTACTCACCGCTGCCCTCTAAAGATGTTACTACGCCAGTAGAGCTTTTCTTGTTTTTCGCAAGACCCATGATACATTTTCTGCTTTCTCTTATTTACATGTGTTTTCCTTAACCGGATGGATAAAAGCCACCCAATTCATGTTCTGTTTGTTATGATGTAAATACCACCTATGTTGAGGCCTGGCTTCAGAAGAAGCTAACCTAAAGGAAGACTTAATTTTGGACACCAAACCTGTCTTAGCCAACTTAATTTCGGTAAAGAAAACCATCAAATACCACCAAACTATCATTTCAAGAAAATATTTTCATCAGTGAAGGAGAAGCAGTCCAGGGACTACATAACCCACATGAATACCCACAGGGTTTTAGATCTGGAAATTCTCTGAATGAGGCAAGTGTTTTTTGAACCTTTACATCATGCAGAACAATAAATAAATAAGTACCTGATCTGAGGAGTCTTCACAGCTTCCTCATTACTCTCCTGGTCTGCGAAGGGATATCCTTGGAAGATCTTGTCATCAGGAGTAGTGGGCTCCTCAGAGTCATCCAGGACTCTACTGCTGTCACTGTTCACATCACTGCTGTCCACCTCCATAGTGGTATCTGAATCCGGACCTGGACTAGCCGGCTCTGAGAGAAGACATACAGCATGTAAGATGTGACAAATACAAATATAACCACCAAACCAATAAACCATTACAACACTAATGTCATACCTCCATTGAAAACAACCTCCCCAAGACAGTCTTTCGGTACCTTAGATGCACATCGCTTGTGGCAGTTGAATTTACAGTCTAGGGGGGAAAAAAATACAGTGAGGCTGAGTTACTTTTACGAGCTAGGCTTGCACCAGTGGTGCACACAGTATTTTTACAACAGGAACAGTTCCCCATCAAACTTTTTAATCATGAATTGATATTGTACTTAATAATCTATAATCTATTAATATAATCTAACATCGCATTTGAGTGTTTGTTTGCCAAGTGTTTTCAGATCTAATCGATAAACATGAGCATTTTTATTAACTTATATTGCTAATGTTTATAAACCTGCGTCATGAAAGATTTTAATCTGATAGAGAAAAAGAAAGTTACAGTGGGGGAAAAATTCTCCACTGAGGCTGGCTTAGTGGCATGATGGCATGTAGCTTTTACCTATTATACTGTCATATGCAAAGGTTGGGTGCCACTGCACATTTTCTGCACATTTTTTTAAGATTCAAGATTCAAGAGTTTTATTGTCATATGCACAGCAGAAACAGGCAGTTACACTGTACAATGAAATTCTTACTTTGCTGTTCCTCCATTCACCAAATATAATCTTAGAAAAAAAATAGAAATATAAAAAAATATATATTAAATACATAAGTACAAATACACTAAAAACAATAGTAAAAAAGTACAGTTATATGTGCAAAGTTGAAAGAAAAATTAAAGTTACGTGTGCGTATGTGCAAGTATGTAGAGCAGTGGTCCATAAAGTGCATGTTGCAAGTAACAGATGTAAACAGTAGTGTTCTGTGCAAGTAATAGATGTAAACAGTAGTGTTCTGACAGCAGCAGTACAGTGTATGTAAGGTGCAGTTATTGAGTGCAAAGTCGGCCAAAAGTTAAACCATTTCAGAGTGGGAGGGTGGAAGAAAAAATCTTAGAAAAAAAACATCAGAAGGCCCTCTTGATGACCCTGATGTGATAAATGTCCTGTAGTGAGGGGAAGGCTGCTCCTGAGATGGACTGTGCAGTTTTGATCACAATGCACAATAACAGTTCATTTGCTGAATTTAACATACAATGTTTAACATAAAATGTAGCCTGTGCAAAAGGTATGACATATTTCATATTTTATGTCTTTTCCAGTATGTTAAACACAGCAAATACATAGAAATTGTGGAAAAAAAGCCATTTGGTTTCAGTTAAGTGTATAGAATGATTCTAATATGTTAGCTCTGTGCAACTTCACATTTCAGATAATTAGTAGGACACCAGGAAGCTGTGAATAAAAACTTAAAATGAAAGAAATCAATAAAATGAATGAAAAATTAAAATGTTATATATGTGTCCAGAATAAAGAATGGTTTTGTAGCAGATTCTAAAATGACTGAGAAAACTGTGTAGCATTAAGTTATAGGAGAATTAAGTAATAATAAATTAAATATCCAGAATTCATCATATTTCAAAATTAGAGTTCAAATCTTAAGGCAAAACATAATGTAAATAAATAATCACAGTGTATTATTTTGTCATTTAATAACTTCTTTTTCTTAGAAAAATTGAGGAAAATATCTAAAAAACGTCTTGGTGAATAGTTTATAATATTTAAAGCCACACTTTATTAAAGTTATTATTGCATATTATGATAACAATGACTTGTTACTAAAATAACTGAAAGAAACTGTTAATGTGGCAAGTGATTCTGGCTGTTTCATTCAAACCAACACACTGCATGCCGAATACAGAGCGAACACTCTGAACAACTGTAGTTAGCTACACCAGTGCTGCTAACTACTAAAATCAAGAGGTGATGTACAGAGTAGGACTATACAGTCTCCCTACAACCTATTTTACAAAGACAGTTTCAAAAAATAAACATATTAACGTTTTACCTCGTTTATTGCTATTTAGTCAAACAGAGTAAATTTGGCGTATACAGTCTTTGGTAGCAAATGTCAGTTTTTTCCGCCTCTGTTTTGCTAGCCTACCCATCTCCACCTATGTTGGGTAAGTTGTCGTATTTGTGTGTGTTTACAAACAGGCTAAACTCACACTGTATTCCTAGTGGAAATGTTTAAAGTTTTAACCGTGTCCGACTGCAATGCCGCAGGCAACACTTCTCTGTGTGAGCACACTCTCGTTCACTGCTAGCTTGAGTCATTTGTTCATTAGCGCAGCAGCGTACACTGGGCTTATGTCACATGGAATCAGCTGGTATTGGATGTTAGTATTGGTGCCTTTTTATGAGGTTGAATATGAGTAAATGAGCACAGTATCAGCCTGATGCCTGATACCAGTATCTGTATCGATGCATCCTTATGAAAAATTGTAAAAGAAATAGGTTTTCAACCACGTTCTACAGGCATGCCAAGCATATGCTGGAGAAACCAAAATGCTCATATGCACATACTTGCAGGCTACTGGCCTGCACTTATATTTACATATTCCAGGGAGAAGTGAAGGCTCACCCTTGCACTGCATGCCTTGGCGGAACAGGCCTTTGAGCAGCCGTTTGCAGTACTGGCAGATGGTGGGCCGCGTGTAGGTGTGGATGACGAAGGTGTGGGGCACTTTGACCCTCCCCAGCACCATCTTCTCCATCCAGATGGGCCGGCCGCTCCAGGACGGGATCCGTTTCCCCGCTTCCTGATGAGAGCGCTGCTGCTGGGGGTTCACCAGGGGTGAAAAGAGTCGGAAAAGACAATAATTACAACATAATTTTTACAACCTGGAGACACGGCAGACAAATTATTATTACAGGACTTTCCCATATTGCTTAACACATGTTTCGAATTGTTTATAATGTTGATAGGAAACTGAGCTAAGTGATAAAAAATCCAAACATTGTATCTTTCAACTTTCTGTACTTATGTTCTAATTGTTAGCACTTCAAAACAGCCCACGTAGCTTTAATAAAACCTGACTCAGCCCTTGAGAAGTACAAAAAAAAAATCTTCAGCCTGGCCCTCTCCACGCACACAGAGTCTGGGCACAACAACACAGAAAGGAATCCACAGAGGCTTGATTTGATTAAGTTAATTCCATTTCCAATGACCTTTCATAAGGGTGAACACAAAAGAACATACTCTGCACTGGGTTCATTCCAGACAGATAGTTGCACAAGGTTTGAACAGTGGCCAGTTAAGAAGAGCTCACTTTTCTTCTTTTTTTTGCATGTTTCTGTTCTGACATAACTGTGCAAGAAAGGGTGCAGTTCATATGCACTGTTTAGACACTTCATAAAGAATGGCTTCATGACACTACAATCACAGAAGCAAACGCTAATTTACTACATTGTGTAAGATAATATATACTAAGAGTGAAATATATACTGCGATTCAGAGTGCATGCCATCAACCTCCTAAATCCATGTACTTCAGTTATGGAGAGCCAAAATAGGCAATGTTGAAAACTGCATTTACTGGAAGGGAATGCATACTCAAATGTCTAGTAATTCCTAGAGAGGTTAGCCTCTACAGACAGGGTCAGGCGCATGAGTTTACAATATGGTTTACACTAATCTGGATAGTGCCAAAAGTCAGTCTTTAATCACTTTTTTCAGCCTCTGTGAGCATATTTGAATGAAACAGATTTTGCAAAGGCCAAGCATGTCTTTATTTATTACAATATATACTAAGTAGGCATGCAGAAATTAACAAATGAGATCACATAATACATTGAGTGGCAGAGTGAAAAAGCCAAGCACTGAGAGCTTGTGAGGTAAAGGAAAAGTCTGGAATAGTGAAAACAATTTACCCAAATTTTCTTCTTACCCCAAATGTAGTCAACTGTAATGTCAATAATGGTAAAACAGCAGTAAAAATAATTTTCTTTAGAGACTGTTTGACCCTGCATGTACCTCTGCCATGAATAGCTCAAAACTACAATAAAACCATGATTCAGGTGTCAGGCAACATATTTGTAACCATTCCACAAATAAATAGTTTCATACAAATAAGAGAATTTAATTCAACTTTCTGTTGGATGAAAGTTATTAATACATTTCTTTATATCTAACCCATTGATATATAAAGAAATGTTGTAATATCAGTGGAATTTCCCTTTATAAACTCAACATTTACAGTTATGTGGTTTCTGACACTGTAGGCTGGGATGGTGCTCAGGGTTAATCCTAGTACTCGACTACATTTTCGTTTCTCCATTCTCCATTCAGAATGCTGTGTGGTCCAGGACTAGACAAAATTCCTGATCACAAAATCTTCCCTGTATAATATAGGATAAACAGCTGATAACACTGTTTGCAACTTGTCCACTTTTTTGATGATATTATGTCAGTAAGTGTCAGAAACTACACTAGCAAGTCTGTTTTTAGTTTACTTAGCAGCTTGGTGTGGCTTGAAGCAAGAATGTGATGATTTAGGCATGCTTTTTTGGGTGTAACTTTCCATTAGTAGTTAGCTACAATAGCCTCGTAGCTGCAGCGCAAAACTGACAAAGCAAACTTCAGACACCAAAAATGTTGGATGATCACCTACATTTGACATAGGTGTTAACTTGACATTGTACTACCCTATCACTTTATAAACTCAGGCCAAGAGCTCCTCACCTCATCTAGGTTTACCACAGAGTGCTCTGCTGGCAGTGGTCGAGGTACTGACAGCGAGGGGCCCGGCAGAGACACATTGGACAGCCGCCTCTTTCTCACACCGCTACAGTTGTTAGGGATCTTAAAGGCACATCGCTTGTGATAATTCAACCCACAACCTGAGAATACATGAACATGTCACAGACACATACATCACAGAATGCTTCTCATGCTATATGTGGCATCGGATGATTCGTTCAAAATTCGTTTAACAGATAGAAAAGTTCATAGCATTTAGATTCAATACAGCTACGTGTGTTTTCAAGTCCTCAATAACCACTGAAAAATATAGAGAACACATTTCTGGTGGACTTCATGACACATATCCTTTGTTCTTTAGTCTTTGTTATCCTAGTCGTCCACTAGATGGCTCCATATCTACTGTCTCAATGAAGACTAAAACCCCAGCAATAGTATCACCTCATGAAAGAGCTTAGGAAAAAAACAGAGCAGAGCTTTCAGATCGCATTCAAAACCATTTAGATACGGCTTTAGTGAGATTTCAGTCTCTATATTAAATATATAGTTCATAAGCTGCTTTGCTGGCATATTCAGAAGACTCTCCAGGGAGAGAGAGTGTGATGCAGCAGCCTGTATCCATCTGCCTAGCTTATTACAGCAGCAGCAAATGCTCACTTTCGGCCTTTGAAGGCCACATCCAATACTTGGCATACAGACACTGGGCTCCATTCAAAAAGACCCTGATTTCAGCTTCAAAAGCTGGCTGGATGGAGTGGACAAGAGGCCAGTGCAGCACGACAGCGCGTGCCTGAGTCTGCGTCCTCTGCCAGAAACACTGAATCAGGGTGTTCAGTGCGTGGTCTGGGAAGCACTTGACGCTTGCTGTTTGGTGTGCAGGCAGTCTGTGATCTGAGGTGTGTGTGGTGCACATATTGTTCCGGGTATGTACACATTACCTGTATGCTCAGCTAGACCATTAAAGTGATGGTTTGGCAAAATACAGATGTACAGTATTTTCCCCTTACTCCAAATTTAGTCAGCCAGCCAAGACATGTTTGTTGCCCAGTGTTTGCTTTTTAGTTTTGTACTGGAGCTACAAGGCTAATGTAGACAACAAGTAATGGAAGCTTTTAGTGCTAACTGTATGCCTAAATCATCACACACTTGCCTGAAACCAGATCAAGAAAAAAATGGACAACAAGAGTACAGGTTACTATCACTGTTCTTAGCAATGTGCAGTAGCTTTTGTCCATTTCATAGATAATAGTGTCAGAAACTACATAAACAGACTATCTGAGATGACTTAACATTTCAACAAGATTTATTGCAAATGTGTGATGACGAAGGCATGCAGTTTTGTATGATGCTAACCTGGCAGCTACAGGCCTTCATTACTTATTAGCTACATTAGTAGCTCCACAGGAAAAACTAAAGAAGCTTCAGATTCCAAATATGTCTTGGCTGATCAGCTACATTTGGGTTATTTTTTGCCAAACCATTATTTTAATACTAATAGTCAAGGCCTAGGGCCTGACCGATATATCTAATACCAATAATAAGGGTGCAACAATTTCCATTCATATAGAAAAATTAAACTTGAAAATCTGTATTGTCTCTCTTCTCTTTATTATTTATCTTCTTTAGTGGAGACCACTGTCCACAAACAAAACTAGGCTTGTGGGTACATCCTATCCAAGTAAAGTGGTCAGCAAGGGGGTGCTGCTCATGTTATGCATTCACCCAAGCTCAAGTTATCCCCAAAAGAGCTTTTAATGAATAAATAAATAATTAAATTTGTGATATTTGGAGTTTATTTTGTAAAAGAGAGCAGCACAGCAGGCACTGACAAAGTTGTACTAGAGGATGTTTATTTATCTGATAAAAACCAATCTGTGTACTATATAATTAGAGCTAGAATCAGTAGAATTATTAACATTTTTAAGATACAAAATATCAAAAATTGAACAGAATCTAGATCTCACAATTGAAAGTTGTATAGTTCCTGAAAATATGTGCATCTTTATGCCACTAGTGTGCAACTTTGTTGTATGAAAAAATGTATTGTGTCAAGATATTGAACTTTATGCATTGCTACACCACTTGCTGATAACATGCTGATAATTACCACCTTTTTATTAAGTTAAAAAATGACAGTGCAAAACTTCAGACAGTCATGCTACTGGAGAGCTCAATATGACATAATCTCTGTTTAACTGCATGATAACAATACAGGCCGAAATAGTGAATCTGAACACAAAATGTCATCATGGTAAATTTTATAAAAATATACAAAAGGCATCCAAACTTAACTTTTAGCCTGAGAATAACATTTTATCACAAAAAAGAGATGAAGATTAGCCAATATCTGTAATAAGACTTTTTAGCCTTGGTGTTGGTAACAGCCACAAACTTTCCATCATTTGGGCATTAGTCAAGACAATATAGAGCACTTAGCCATGTTTCTCTTTCTATGCAATTCATATTTAAAATTTGATTGAGTGCATGTTTTTCAAGATGTTTCTGAAGTGGATTCAGTACCTTCACATTTGAGGCCCTGACGGACGAGGCCCCACAGCATCTCCCCACAGTAGTCACAGAAGGTGGGGGCCTTGTATGAGTGCACATAGAGAGCATGAGGCCGGATCTGGAAGTCTTCCACTGTAGCCTGAGCTGCAATTAAAATGCAACTTAAAACAGAAGTCAACCAAAAGAACGGACTAAAAACCCAGATGGAACTAAACAAAAATGACACACGAATGAAACACAGAAGACAAACAGAACACACAAAACTGTTTAAGGATTACAAAAAAATCAAGAAAAAAAGGTCAAGTTCTGATCACTCAGGATGCTTTCATTTTGGTCACACATTTAGAATTTATTAATGGTAACTTCAGAGAAACAAACCTCAGACTAGTAAATCTAGTCAAGTAAAGTAAGACAGCTTAAATGATTTATGTAGAACACTGACAGGTCAGAAAGGACCCTGCAGAAACCAAGGAAATAAATGTCTGAAATGACGTGTTATGGTTGTTAACCACCACTTCCGATTGACAATTTTACTTGCTTGGGTGAAAAAAAACTTTTTTTCTTTAATACCTCAGAATGTACAATGCAGACTATTTTCAGGCCAGCAGAGACACTGAGAGACAGCACCACCAGCTACACTGATGATGATACACTATCAGCGCAATACACACTGACATGCTATTACCATGGTGGTCCAACTGCTGTCCTGAGAATGGTCCACTATCCAAAAAATATTTGTTCAGACGTCGTCCTATGGTGGTCCCTTTCCATTGATGGTTGGGGTATTTAAGCCACCCCTATAGGCTATAATTATGTACACAGCCCAAGATTATCAGGCAAAGGAGGTGGATTGTGTGTAATCTACCAGAATACCCTAGATATCAGTCAAAAACAATGTGACACCTTCACTTCTTTTGAGGTTCTTTCCATCAACATTACAAATCCGGCCACAAAAAAGAATGCATTTTCATTATTTAACATTTACAGACCACCAGGACCCTACTCAGAATTTCTAAAAGAATTTAGTGATTTCGCTGCAAACCTAGCTGTGTGCAATGATAAGGTAATGATTGTAGGAGATTTTAATATCCATTTTGAGAAGGCAGATGACCCACTAAAAAAGGCATTTACTTCAATCCTAGACTCTGTTGGTATTACCCAAAATGTAACAGGGCCTACACACTACTGTAGTCACACTTTAGACTTAGTTCTGACACTCGGACTTAACATAGACAGGCTTAATATCCTACCGCAAACCTCAGTAATCTCCGACCATTACCTAATTTCTTATGAGCTACGTCTTAGCCATAATACATGTACGTCCCCTCGCTATTCTACAAAGCGTGCAATAAAACCATTTACCGCCCTACAATTCATAGAAAACTTCCCAGTACTAACAACCCTAGTCTCCACTCCATCAGACCCAATGGAGCTAGATGTATTAACCGACTATTTAGAAAATACCTTTCGATCTACTTTAGAAAATGTGGCGCCACTTAAATTCAAAAGGATAAGACAGAAAAAGCTTGCCCCGTGGTACAATGATAAAACCCGTACCTTAAAACAAACAGTACGGAACCTAGAGCGGAAATGGCGATCAACCAAGCTGGAAGTGTTCCACTTGGCCTGGAAGGACAGCCTTATAGAGTATAGAAATGCTCTCACTAAAGCTCGCTCAGCATATCTGGCCTCGCTGATCGAGAATAATAAATATAATCCTAGAGTACTGTTTAGTGTGATTTCCAGAATTACAAAAAATCAGGCAGGTATTGAACCACAAATTCCGGCGACTCTCACCAGTGAAGTTTTTATGGACTTTTTTAATAATAAAATCGAAAATATTAGACAACAAATTCAACCCACAGTATTAAATCCAACTTGCTTGTCATCTGACATGGCTGATATAAAACATAACATAGTTGCAGAAGAAAGGCTTGAAACTTTCTACCCACTCCCACAGCCAGAATGATCTCCTCTGCAAATTGCACAACCTGCACACCTGATGCAATTCCCTCAAAATTACTCAAAGAAGTGCTACCAGTTATCATTAATCCTTTTTTAACTATAGTAAACTCGTCCCTTAGCCTGGGCCATGTACCCAAAGCTTTTAAACTAGCAGTTATTAAACCTCTGATCAAGAAACCAAACCTTGACGCTAGCGTATTGTCTAATTACAGGCCTATTTCTAACCTACCATTTCTATCTAAGATCTTAGAAAAAGCTGTAGCCCAACAACTTAGTGCATATCTACATAAGAACCACATTTATGAAAAACTCCAATCTGGATTCAGGCCACATCACAGCACTGAGACAGCTCTAGTTAAGATAACAAATGATCTTCTTCTTGCCTCTGATCAAGGCTACATATCCCTGTTGGTGCTACTTGACCTCAGCGCAGCTTTCGATACGATAGACCACAATATTCTCCTAGAAAGGTTAGAAAACATGGTTGGAATCACAGGGACAGCCCTATCATGGTTCAAATCTTACTCAGTTCGTAAAGGTAAATGATTCATCTTCCAATTATTCACAAGTAAGATCTGGAATTCCGCAAGGCTCTATTTTAGGACCATCATTATTTACATTATACATGTTACCGTTAGGCACAGTTATAAGTAACCATAGCATTAACTTTCACTGTTACGCAGACGATACGCAGTTGTACATATCAGCCAAGCCTGATGACAAATACAGATTAAAGAAAATAGAGGACTGTGTAAAAGATGTGAAAGGTTGGATGTTGCATAACTTCCTCCTTCTAAACAGTAACAAAACAGAGGTTCTCCTTCTGGGTCCAAAAGTGGCAAGAAATAAATTATCAGATTTAATTTTAAATCTCACTGACTTTCCAGTTATACCTGGTTCAGCAGCAAAAAATCTTGGTGTCATACTTGATCCAGATTTATCATTCGATCAACACATAGGCAGTATCACTAGGACAGCTTTTTTACATCTTCACAATATCGGCAGAATAAGAAATGCCTTATCGCTGCATGATGCAGAAACATTAGTACATGCCTTTATTACTTCAAGGCTGGACTATTGTAACGCACCACTGTCAGGATGCACCAGCAGGAAGTAAACTTCAACTAGTTCAAAATGCTGCAGCCAGGGTTCTCACTAAAACTAGAAAATTTGATCATATCAGTCCAGTTCTATCATCACTTCATTGGCTGCCTGTTAAATTCCGTATTGATTACAAAATTCTTTTATTGACGTATAAAGCCCCACATGGGCTCGCTCCTGAGTACCTACAAGACTTTATTTCCCATTACGAGCCACCACGATTACTCAGATCACAGAGTGCTGGCTTTTTAATAGTTCCCAGAATTCAGAAGGTTTCATCTGGGGGAAGAGCCTTTTCTTATAAAGCCCCCAAACTCTGGAATGATCTTCCAGAAAATGTTCGGGACTCAACTCTAGGCTGAAAACTCACTTGTTTAGTTTAGCTTTTGGTAGTTAATGTTCCCCCTTAGATAAAGGCAGCAGATCCAGGGGTCCATGGGCGCAGGGTGTTATAGTAAACTGAGACGCTGGTGCTGTCGTCCCGCCGCTCGCACGCGATCACTCAGGTTTGTGGACGGTGGAGCGGAGGGATGCCAAATTCTTTCAAGGTGCTCCCGTATCTGTGTGCCCTTTTGGTTCTCTCCTTTCAGTTAAGCTGTTGTAGTCAGATCTGCCGGAGTCATTAGCCACACTCTGGAAATGTTTTACATATTATTATACATACACCCATACAGAACTAAACTAACTCCATCTCCCTACCTTTTTCAGAGTAAACGACTGCCCACCTGTCCGGCCGGACACTGATGGATGATTGTCTGTCGAGCTCTCCAGCTACCCGCTTCAGACCAGTTGCCCACGCCCCAGTCACCGCCACTTGCCCAGCTACCGCCACCTGCCTTGGACTAGCTGCCCACCCTACACTGAAGTGGACTCCTAACTATTAGTACTACTACTACTATTAATATTAGTAGTATAATAATTTTGTAGGTAGTTTGACCAGAGGAGGATGGGTCCCCCCCTTGTGAGCCTTGGTTCCTCCCAAGGTTTCTTCCCCAGCTCTGAGGGAGTTTTTCCTTGCCACTGTCACCACTGGCTTGCTCACCTGGAGGATTTATATTTCATGTTAAAACTTTGTCCTTAATGGATTTCTGTGAAGCTGCTTTGTGCCAACATCAGTTGTAAAAAGCGCTATACAAATAAATTTGACTTGACTTGACTATATATAAAAGAGGCAGAATGCTGCCTTCGTTGTCAGATGAAATGTGATCAGTGCTCACATTCAACGGAATTCAGATCACTAAGACTTTATTAGTGATTCGTTTAATGAGAATAACAATAAAAGACCACTGAAACGTGACATATATTCTTATTCACAATTGCTTGTGAATACAGATGCTTATTTCATTACATCCCAACCCTAGTGTATATACAAACATTACAGAAACATTTTCAGAATGACTAGGCTCATTTTTGAGTTTCACAATGTAGCAATATTCATATAGTGTAATGCAACATTTAGAGTACACATTCCTCACCCACTCGCAGTCAAGACTGCTGCCTGGAGGCCTGGGTGGCTCTTGTCTGTGATAATGCATGTGTGACACAGCTGAAACCACAAACAGTACAGTACAATAGCTACAAAACTCCTCTTTAGTTTGAGTCAGGGAAAGTGATTCACAGATGTGATTCAGATGTGAATCATAGCAGAGTCAATGAATTTGACAGTGCTGAAATGATTTCAAAGTAATTTTTTCAGATAAAAGTGATCCTATCTAGATGACTCATCAGGTACACTATAAATCAGAGGCTGATTAGAGGAAATTCAGAAAAATGAAAGTGGCTTCCTGGACGTAGATTAAGTCTTTTTTTCCCCAAACTGTTCTTTGTAGTTTAGGGTTAGATTTCATCTTTGTATTCTAAACCATCCCGAGAGATTAATACACTATAATATAAAGTACAGACTCAGGATAAACAGGAATTGAAAGAAAGGTGCCATTAAATGAGCTTCTAGATGCTACAACATAGAAAGTGCATAATCAGGCTCATCACAGTGACTGAGTATGAGAGTCACCTATGAGAGTAGTTCAAAAAATATTCTTGTACAATGTGGTCTCCATTTCCTTCATGACAGTGGATCA